GCCCTGGTTGGTCGTGCAGGTGGCAAGCCACTCGATGTGTCCCTTTCATGTCAATGTTTCTCCCTCTCTCTCCCTCCCACTCTAAACAAAAAAAATGGAAAAATGTCCTCAGGTGAGGATTGAAAAAAAATAAAGCAAGAAAGAAATCTGCATAAACAGGCTCCTACCTGTTTTTGGGTTTTTTTGGGCAAAGAAGTTCTGGGCACCGTTGCTACGCCAAACATCGGGCCAGGTCCCGGGGTCACAGCAGAAACAAAACCAAGACCTTGCTCTCAGCTGGTCTTACCAGGAGGGAGGGGCATGCTGGTGAGGGACCCGTGGGGGGGGGGGGTCCTGCAGGAGCACGGCCTCACCTCGGGCAGCACGGCGCGTCACCTGGACTGACACCTGAGTCCCAGCCGAGCCTCTCACGGTCCTCGTGTCCCCAGGAAGACATCCTCACGTATCAAGTGCAGACATGAAGAGGACTTGGTGACCAGCCAGCCTGCCAGACGGCCCCCTCAGGAGATGTTAGCAGGACAAGGATGGAAGTTTTTTTCCCCCCAAATAAATGAAAAATATTTTAATACTGGAAGGATTGCTCTGTCCCTTCGCCATATTTTAGTCCTAGCACGACCACTCTAGAAATCCTGCTACTGTTCTGTTCGTTTACGTGGTTCTGATCTGTCTGCCGGAGCAACAGGAAGTCCACAAGGGCAGCTTTTTGGTGGTGGGTTTGATTACACCCAGTGTCTTGACAAGCACTTGACTGGTCCTTCGTTGAATTTATTGGAGTGATGTTGGTTAATAAAATCGTATAGGTTTCAGGTGTACGATTCCAGAATACACATCTGTACACTGTTCATCACCCAAAGTCAAGTCTCCTGTCCCCGTGTATCCCCTTTTCCTTCCCTCTTCTACCTCCCCCCCACCCCCTCTGGTGATCACCATGCTGTGTGTCTGAGTTTTGGTTTCTTCTTAATCCTCACATTTTTCACCAGCCCCTCCCCCTCCCGTCTGACAGCTGTCGGTCTGTTCTCTGTGTCTATGTTTGTATTTTGTTCATTAGCTTCCACATACGAGTGAGATCACGTGGCACTTGGGGTTTTTTTTTATTCTCATCTGAGGACATTTTTGCATTTATCTTCAGATAGAGCAGGAGGAGGAGAGGGAGGAAGAGAGAGAAACATCAATGTGAGAGAGACATCGAGTGGCCGCCACCCACACGACTCCAACCGGAGCTGGGACAAACCGCAACTGGGGTACGTGCCCTTAGCGGGAACCGAACCCAGGACGCTGGTCTGCGGGTCGATGCTCTAACCGCTGAGCCAAACTGGCCAGGGCTTTTTTTTTTAATATAGGGTCTGACTCCACTTTTTTTTTTAAATCCTCACCTGAGGATATTTTTCTATTTATCATCAGCTAGAGTGGGAGGGAGAGAGGAGAGAGAAACATCGATGTGATCCCGTAGGACCCGAACAGGGCCAGAGACAAACTGCAACCGAGGTACGTGCCCTTGACCGGAATCGAACCCTCAACTCATTGGTCCGCAGGCCAACGCTCTAACCACTGAGCAACTAGCCAGGGCTGACTCCACTTTTTAAAAATATTTTTTTAATTTTTTTCAGAGAAAGAGATAGAAACATCAATGGGCTGCCTCCTGCACGCCCCCCACTGGGGATCGAGCCCGAAACCCAGCACGTGCCCTGACTGGGACTCGAACTGGGACCTCTCAGTCCACGGGACGACACTCAATCCACTGAGCCACGCCGGCCGGCCGGCCATTTCCATTGACTTTTAGAGAGAAAGGAACAGAGAGGGGTAGGAAGAGGGGACAGGGAGAGAGACCAGAGACAGAAACATCAGTGTGAGAGACACACAGATTGGTTGCCTCCTGCATGACCCCAAATGGGGCCAGGGATGGAACCTGCAACCCAGGTACATGCTCTTGACTGGGAATCAAACCTCTGACCCTCCGGGGTGAGGGCCGATGCTCCAGCCACCGAGCCTGTCCTGCCAGGGCTGATGCCTGTTATTCGTAAGGGGAGCAGCTTGAGAAGACTTAGAGCGGATGGTTCTCGGCCCGGTACGCCCCAGGGAACGTGGGTGAGTCAGCTACACCTGAGCTAAGTCCTCAGCGAGAGTCTTTAGCTGGAGACCCGCGTGAGGAGCCTCACCTTCTCGTGAGCAGAACTGTATCGTTCAAACAGGAACGTCTTCATTTTCACCAGCCGTGCCGCTCATGGTGGTGACCGTGTGGCCAGAAGTCAGGGAGGGACACAGGTCCTGACGGCAGCTTCGGCCCGAACACAGTGAGGAAGCTGCTGCTTCCTGCCCGTTCCTGACTCGGGAAACCCTGCCGACAGGGCAGTCCTGCTTGAGCACCTGGGTCCCCCCCAGGGAGACAGCCACCTCGGCAGCTTTTAGTTTTTAATTTTTTTTTTTTTTTGACCTTGGATTAGGCTTTTAAAATTTATTTTTAAATTATTTTTATTTATTTTTGATACAAATGTTTCTCCTTTCCCCCCCTCCCCCAGTGACACCCTCCTCCCCCCCCCCGCCCATCCCGTCCCCAGCTTCGTTGTCTACGTCCATGGTTACACATACATGCATATGAGTTCTGTGGTTTATCTGCCCTCCCGTGCCACCCCCTCTTCTGAGGTTTGTGTCTGTACCCTACTTCTATGTCTCTGGGTCTAATTTGTTCATCAGTTTAATCATATTCCACAAATAAGTGAGATTGCGTGATGTTTGTCTTTCTCTGCTTGGCTTGTTTTGCTTAGCATAATACTCTCCAGGTCCCTCCATGTCATCTCAAAGGTTCAGAGATCTTTTTTACAGCTGCATAGTACTCCATTGTGTATGTGTACCACAGCGTTTTTACCCACTCATCTATTGATGGATACTTGGGCTGTTTTCAGATCTTAACGATTATAAATAGGGCTGCATTAAACATAGGGGTACATATATTCTTTCTGATTGGTGTTTCAGGCTTCTTAGGGTATATTCTCAGAAGTGGGATCACTGGGTTGAATGGCAGTTCAATTTTTAATTCTTTGAGGAAACACCATATTGTTTTCCATAGTGGCTGCACCAGTCTGCATTCCCACCAGCAGTGTACTAGAGTCCCCTTTTCTCCACACTCTCGCCAGCACTTGTTTGATGATTTGTTGATGGCGGTCACTCTGACAGGTGTGAAGTTTTCATTGATTTTTAGAGAGGAAGGGAGAGAGAGAAACGTCAGCTGCCTCCTGCACGCCCCCTACTGGAGATCACACTCGCAACCCAGGCATGTGCCCTGACTGGGAATCAAACCAGTGACCTCTTGGTGCATGGGTCAACGCTCAACCACTGAGCCACACACAGGCATTGGTGGCTTTTATTTTTATTAAAAAAATTGTTTTTCCCCTTTATTGACTTCAGAGTGAGAAAAAGGGAGCGGGAGAGAAACATCAATGAGAGAGATCAATTGGCTACCTCCTGCATGCCCCCCACTGGGGATCGGGCCCACAACCTGGGCACGTGCCCTGACCGGGAATTGAACCGGTGACCTCTTGGTGCAGGGTGGATGCTCAACCACTGAGCCTCACCAGCCGGGCTACTCTTAACCTCAGTGAGCTTCACTGACATCCCAGAACCAAACACACCACAGACAAGAAAATAAAGGACAGCACTGTTAACAACTCCCTATTTATTAAAAGTGTCCCACAGCCTTCCAACCACAGCTCAGACGTGGCCCTGGGGAGGGCGGGGCCAGCTTGGCACCCCGGCGCCCTTGGGCTGCGCCCGTGGCGGCAGAGGTATCGGGTGGTGGCACTGGATTCACAGGACGTGGCAGGCGCCCACTTGGCATGGCAGTAAGTCGTGCTACACGGCTTGGTTGCCGTCAAAACGTTACAACACAGTCGAGTTCAAGTCCAGGAGCAGAACCGGATGGAAACAGCACAAAGGCTGGCGCCCCGCCCCTGGCCTGCTGCACCGGTGGGTGGGCAGCCTCCACTCCGCCACGTGGCAGCAGCCAGCTGGGTCGCGGTCGGAGGCCAGGGCCAGGAGGTCCACACCTGAGCCCCTGGCCCGTGTGTAAGGGTGGGGGTGACCACTGCCCCTCGGAATAAGCGCACGTGGCACCTCGGCAGGAACCCAGCGTGTTGGCACCCCCTTCCCGTGGCGCGAGCTCCCTCCTGCTGGAGCCCCCGGCCCCGACCTGAGCCAAGAAGGCTGGTGGGAGAAGCCGGGTGCAGGGCGGCTCCCTACCAGCCCTTCCGGAGCGGAGCCGCGGGGGCAGCAGGTGACGCCGCCTGCCGGCCCCACTGGCACCAGGTGAAGCTAAGGCACACGTGGGCCTGCAGGGCGCCGGGCACCGCGGGAACCGGAGACGCGTCCGCTCACCCCCGTTCCGATCTGCTCGACACAATATGTGCATTTTAAGTTTCCCTGAATGGTTTTAAGTCAAAAGTCGTCTTTCCCAATACAAAACAGGAAATGTACACACAGTAAAAACATTGGCGTTTTCTTCACAGAAACCCTGGGGCCGGCGCAGGGGGGGGGGGGGCCGGGCGGCAGGGGCTGCGTGGGGCCCACCTCTGTGGGCCAGCTCGCGTGGCAGTGGGCCGAGCGCAAGCCCTGCGTGTGGCTTTGAAGGATCCAGGTGGGGGCGTAGGGGCTGTAGGCCCGACTCAGTAAGCACCTTCTGGGCTGGCCTGCCTGGCCGGCCCTCATGGCTGGGACGGGCTGGGACACAAACTGCCTTGGAAATCGGCAGCCACGGCGAACCGTGCTCGTGCCGAGACGCTGCGACGGGAGGATCGCGGTTCTAGGGGGCAGGCGGCTTCTCCCAGCTGCACCAGCTCCCCAGCACGAGGCCTAGAACCGCGTGGAGAATGCGAACCGGAGAGAGCTGGACGCCAGGCTGAGGCCGGTGCGCGACCAGGGCCCACGCTCCTCACCCGACCTACAGCGCCGAGGGCGGTGCCGCCGGGCCGCGGCCACCGGGCCTCGCGGCCTCCGAGTGCGCCCGGCCAGCAGGCCCGCGGAGGGGCTCGGACGGAGGGCCCTCACTGCAGGATGAAGCCCGGCTGGTGCGGCAGCCGGGGCGGGGGTCTCTGGGGGAGAGCCGGCGGGTAGGGTGACAGGAGCTGCGCGGAGAATCCTTGCTGGGAGAGGCCCGTGCGGGGGGGGGGGGGGGGGCACGGGGGGCCTGGGTACGGGGAGGCCTGTGCCGAGCCCGGGGCAGCAGTGAACGGTGTGGCGAAGCGTCCTGCGGGCACTGGGGGCGGGATGCGCCGAGGCGCCACAGCGGGGGGCCCGCCGGCCTCTGGGCAGGGGAAGGACAGGGGGGCGGCGGGCGCCGGCTCAGGCAGCCTGGGCAGTGGCAGGGCCTGCGCTTGTCTCTGCCCCTTCAGCACCAGCTCCTGGAGCTTCTCGATCTTCACTCTCCGAACGTGGGCCAGTTTCCGCTGGGCCTGGTAGACGTCGATGAAGGAGTCCAGGGGAAGCTCTCCGTCGAGAAACTTCTCTGCCATGTTCTGAAAGCAGCAGGAGACACGGTCACAGGGACCCGGCTTCAGGGAGGCCTCGCCCCCTCACCACCCAGTGCCCTGCTCCCGTCCACCGTGCCCCACACTGCAGAGCGGGCTGACCCGCGTGCCCCACCTCCCAGACCGCAAGCTGGACGGCAGCAGGCTCGGGGAGAGCCAGTCGGAGGACGAAGGGGCCCTGGGCGGCGCCCAGCTCCGACCCTCTCCCCTGTGCCAGCCCGAGCCGTCCGCCCGCGGCACTGGCTGCTCCACCCGGGCTCCCACCCGGCCTGCCTGCTCACTGCCCCACACAGTGGAGCGTGGCCACCTCGGCCGGCCCCACAGCTACTGTCCACCCCGACGCGGCTCCTCGGCGAGGCCCGAGCCTCCAGTGCTCAGGGGCTGAATCCCACGGGTGCTGCCCACCTGACCGAGAGCTGATGCACCGCAGCCCCGCCGCCAGGGACCCTCGCTGAGCCGGTGCATGCACCCCCCCTTGAGGACCAGACTCCCTGCCGCTCCCCCAGACCTTAGCTGCTCTCCCCGCCCCAGGCGCCGGCTGTACCTCGGTGTCCTCCTCGATCTGGGCTCCTCCTGCTTGCAGAAGCGCCAACAGGGTCTCCAGGGAGGCGCTGCCGGGCTGCCTGTCTGGAGAGCAGGGCAGGATGAGGGCCCGCCAGCCCTCGGCACAGCGCCCGGGCCCCACGCTCCTTCCACGGCCCTTTCCAAGGAAGGGCCTCAGAACCAGAAAGGCAGCTGGGGCCGCACCTGCTGAGAGCGGCTCCAGGAAGGTGGAACGAGCCCAGGACGGTGCCCAGGACAAGTGCCAGGGCCGGGCCCCTCAGCGCTGTCCCTGGACACGTGGCACAGGCCACACGCCCCTGGCACCGCGGGCGACTCACAGGTGCGCGTGTCTGAGCCGCAGGGCAACCCCCACCAGGGTCTCTGCAGGGACCCGCCCCAGGCAGCCTCCGGCCTCCGCCCAGTCCTGCTGCTCCTGAACCGCGGCCTGGCTCCCGCGGCAGGAGCTCTGAGGCCACCGAGCTGCCCCGGGAATCGCCTGCCTGCCCCCGCCCGTGGAGCCGGCACTGCCCGGGGGCACACAGACCGCCCCAAACCCAGCTCGCAGGGAAAGCCACCTTCGGTGCGGACCTTCCGGGCAACATCACCACCACCTCCGGTGGGGACATGCGGGGCCAGCGTCACGTGGAGGCAGCGTCACTGCCTCGCGGCTTCTCCACGGCGGCTCACGAGCCCCATGCCCGTCCTCCCCGCACTGGGCACCGCAGGTCCCCTCCACCCCTTCCGGCTGGGTGTGCCCCAGTCCCCTTCACGGAGGTCACGGGACAGGGAGGGGCTGCGGTGTGAAAGGCCACTGACCTCCTCAACGGGGTGCTTCCTAACCTCAACTTAAAAGTCTCCCTGAGCCCTGGCCGGTTTGGCTCAGCGGTTAGAGCGTCGGCCTGCGGTCCGGAGAGACCCGGGTTCGGTTCCCACTAAGGGCATGTACCTTGGTTGCAGTTTGTCCCCGGCCCTGGTTGGTCGTGTGGGTGGCAGCCACTCGATGTGTCCCTTTCACGTCGATGTTTCTCTCTCTCTCCCTCTCTCTCCCTCCCACTCTATCTGTACAAAAAATGGAAAAATGTCCTCGGGTGAGAATAAAAAAAAAAAAAAGTTACCTAATCTGGTCTTCTTCATCTGATAGGCTTCGAAGAGCACCTGCAGCTGCTGGTACTTCTGGGTCAGGCATGCTTTCAGGGCGTCCAGCCGGGGCTGGTACACGAGGTTCCCCTCCGCCAGGCTCCGGTTGCTGGCGAGCGTCATCTCTTTGCTGAGCTGGACGTGCTGTGTCTGCAAGAACGTGCGGGACGCTGAGAGCCGAGTGGGCCGGTGAGCAGGCGAGTGCCAGCGGCGCCCACCCGGGCCTCCGGCCCTCGGACTTCCAGCCTGGACACTGCTCCCTGTTCTCAAAGGGCAAAGCCACTTCCTGTCCGCCGAGCACGCGGACGGGCTCTGTGCTGTGACCGGCTCGCCCCGCGGCTGCGCTGCGACGGATTCCTTACCCCTCAGACTGAGCAGCTGCAAAGATCTCGGGCTGGTCTTCCCAGAGCACGTAGCAGCTGCTCAGGGAAGTTAAAGGATCCCTGTGCCGGAGGAGGGCGGTTGCATGATGTCAATCCAGGCTCAATGGCCAGGCTCGGGACGGAGACAGAAGCCTGGGACCCTGGGGAGGCGCTCGGTGCCCAGCGAGCCCGCTCTGCCTTCCCCCGTCCGCCCATGAAGCCCGGGCCACCGTCCAGCGAACCTGAGCTGGGGGAGGGGAGTTATTTGCCCCAAGGGGTGAGGGTCATCTGGGAGGTGGAGAAGCCCAAGCCTGGACCTCGGGGATGAGGGGGAATGGAGGGCCCGAGGAAAGGGTCAGGAAGGGCCTGGTAAAACGTAGACAAAGGGCCTGGAGTCAAACGCAAACACCGAACACGCCCCCCCTGCAGACCAGCTTCCCCGCGCAGCCCGCCCCCCCTCGCCTTCTGACCCAGACTGCAGCAGCGCGGGCGGCTCCCTCGGGCCCTCTTCAGCCCTGTGCCAGTCCTCGCCTGCCCCCCTGCCCCCCGCAGACCCCCCACTCTACCTTCACTTCTACTTCCCTCCCGGGGAGTCACAGGGCAAGGCTGCCTCTCTGCTGCCCAGCCCCCAGCACTCACCGCCGTGTGTCCGTCCACACACACACACACGTGCACACGCACAACTTCGTGGAGTAAGAACAAAGACGAGACCCGTGGGCCCCCGCAGGCAGCCCCGCGCAGAGACACGCTCCCACACGGGTGAACAGGCCCCAGGCCCCAGAGAGTGGGCACAGCTTGAAGCGGAACTCAGATCAAAGGCAGAACCGAAGCCTCTACCGCACACAAGGAAATCAGTGCAGCGGAACGGAGAGCGGGGGCTGGAGGCCCCCAGGGTCAGGCACCAGGGGCTCCCTCCGCCCTACCCCACCCGCGGCACTGGTCCCCAACGGGCTGTCTGGAAGTCTTTCCTTCAACTGCTGAGCGTTTCAGAGAACAAACAAACAAAAATAAATGACCACCATACAGCCGCTCTGAACACAGCCTGGCTGTTTCTTTTAACACTGAACACGCGACCGCCATGCGGGCCGGGGACTGCACTCCCGGGCAGGCGTCCCGGAGAAACCAGAGGTGTTCCCACGGAGACTGGGCACCGGCGTTCCGCTCGGCCTCATCCATCACTGCCGAGGACTGGAGGCAAATCTCGAGGTGTTCTTCAGCAGGAGAAGGGGGACAAAGCCGCCACCTCCACACCCCGCATCCCCCCGAGGCGTGACGAACAGACTGCTGGACACAGGGCAGGGCAGTGAGGCCAAGGAGGAAGGCGAACCCACGGGCCACCGGTTCTGACCCCGCGTCCACAGCCCTCTTGCAGCGCAGAAGGACAGGACGGGGCAGGTCAGTGGTGGAGCTCAACGAGGGCCGCCTCCCTGCCCCGTCCGGCTGTGAGCGGGACGGCGAGTCTGCCAGGGTACACAGGCTCTCCCTGTGGCCTTACAGCTCGGGCGAGTGTGCGATCGTCTCAACAGCTAAGCTCCAAACCATCAATCGCCCATGAGCTCGTTTTCCCACGGTCTCGCCTCTGCCGGACGAGGGGCAGGTGCTCGAGGCCACGCAGGACCCGGGCTCCTGCTCGCAGACCCACGGCTCTGCCTCGGTCCAGCTTTGTTCGGAACACCTGAAGCGGAGGGTCGTGTGCCAGGCCCACAGGCCCAGACCGAGAGAAGCAGGCGCCTGCCTGTTCTGTAAGAAACCCAGGTCTGCGGAAATGGACCCCAACTCCTGCCCCGGTCTCTGGGTCCGGGTGCCGGGGTCCCCAGCTGCCCTCCCGCAGGCCTGTGAACAAACCGAGCCCCCCGCAGGCCTCTGCTCCTCCTCATCGCTGGGCTCCAGCGTAAAGCCTCCCCGTCCCCGCTGAGCCCCAGTGGCCTCCACACAGCACCCCTTTCTTTCCTGCCACTAGTCGCATCAGCATTTAGTTCTTTCCTGGCGCCCGGTCTCTCCCGCCGGGGCGCCAAAGGCTCGGGCAGCCCCTGTGCCTCCGGCAGGCCAGCGCCCAGCACCGGCCAGCCTCGTGAGGACCGTGGGATGGCTCCGCCCGGTCAGGCCCGGCCAGGTCTGGCGGATAAGGTGGGTAACAGAACGTGGAGTGAAAAACAGAGCAGGGCCCTGGCTGGGCGGTTCAGTGGTGGAGCACTGTCCCTGCCCAGAGAGGGGCCGGTTCAACTCCGGTCAGGGCACATGCTGGGCTTCAGGCTGTCCCCAGTGGGGGCGTGCAGGAGGCAGCCCATCATGCTCCTCTCTCATTTATGGTTCACTCTCTCCCCCACTACCTCCCCCTAAAATCAATAAAAACATATTAAAAAAAAAAAAAAGCCGACTTTGTCAAGTAATAAATGCCCCAAACTGTTTACGCCAGACAGGTGCCCTTGCTAAAGTCCTTTGAGACGAAGTCCAGGGAGTGGGGTGTCTCACTGGGTGTAAGGGAGATTCCAAAAGCAGGGTCCCCCCAAAAGTCTTAAGTGGGGGCAGCATCGTGAACACAGGTTGAAGCGCACGTCCACCTGGAGCTAAGTGTCTCCCAGCACCAGCTGCTCTGCAGGTCGGCCGAGGGGCGGGTGGGCCGGTAAAACCCCCAGCGCCCAGACCAGCCCCAGGGCCGAGGGTCCAGGAGCCTGGGCACAGGTCTATTCTCAGCGCTCCCCAGGGGACTCCACAGCTCGGCCACCAAACATGCAGGGGCACACCTCTCCCTCACAGGGTCTAGCTCAGGTGGAAAGCACTCCGTGTGCCAGGTGAGGCGGCACAGAGGGGCTGCACACGGGGCAGCTCATCCCCCGAAGACAAAGGCAAAGTCAGCCAGCAGGAGCGGCCAAGTGCAACTCCCACCCACCCCGGGCTGGCTGCGACTTTCCTATCCTTTGGGTATCCCTGCTTTTACTTTTTATTTTATTTTATTTTTTTATCCTCACCCGAGGACATTTTTCCATTTTTGTACAGACAGAGTGGGAGGGAGAGAGAGGGAAACATCGATGTGAAAGGGACACATCGAGTGGCTGCCACCCGCACGACCAACCAGGGCCGGGGACAAACTGCAACCGAGGTACGTGCCCTTAGCGGGAACCGAACCCGGGTCTCTCCGGACCGCAGGCGGGCACTCTAACCGCTGAGCCAAACCGGCCAGGGCCCTGCTTTTACTTTTTAAAAATCAGTACATTCTAAGTGCCGCCCAGCCCATACCCACGGCACCCTCTGGGCGGGGGGGAGGACTCTCTCCGGGAGGGAGAAGCTTCTCTTTCTAAGCATCCGACAAAGCGCTTCCCGCAGCCCGCCCAGAGCAGTCCTGGGGTGCTGCCTGCCACGCAGAAACACTTTCCTCCTCAACATGCCCTCCCGTGGGGACAGTGCCCACACTCAACTCGGCAAGGCCGTGCCAGCCCCTCTGGGACCCACAGCCCAGCCCCACCTCTGGGCCGAGCCCCGGGCTGTGTGGAGAGGCTGCCCTACTTCAGGAGCCGCAGTGCGGAGCCCGCAGACACCAGAAACCCCGATGGCTCTCGGGATCCTTTTTCTCAACCAGAGAGAAATCTTTTCAGGAAACCCTCTGCGGCGAGGGAAGTCCTATCTGTGTGCTCAGTTTCACTTCTGTGCCCCTCTCCGCTGTCGAGGGAAGAGAACGAGGTGCGGGAACAGCGCCTGCAGCAGGACCGACGCCCCGAGTCCTCTGCCACGTGTCCACCGAGCAGGGCTGTGCGCACCCCTGGCCGTGTTCCCTTCTGTGGGAACGTGACCTTTGGCGGCAACAGGGTCTTTGCAGATGTAACAAGTGTCGGGTCGGGATTGGGAGCTCCTCCCGGAGTATCTGAGTGGCCCTAAACCAGACAAGTGTCCTGACGAGACACACAGAGAAGAGACAGACGCGGAGAAGCACGTGAGGACGGAGGGAGACAGGAGTGACGTGGCCACTAGAGACTGAGAGGGCTTCGTCCCCGGAGCCTGCAGGGCAGCGTGGACACTGTGGCCTCAGACCTCTGGCCCCAGAACTGCGAGAGGATCCGTTTCTTGTTTAAGTCACCAAACCTGCAGTCATTGTAGACAGCCCCAGGACACTAGCAGTGCAGGACCCTCTGTGCCCCGTCCGGCCCCGTGCCCCCGTCCAGCCCCGTGCCCCGTCCGGCCCCGTGCCCCGTGCCCCCGTCCTGCCCCGTGCCCCCGTCCGGCCCCGTGCCCCGTGCCCCCGTCCGGCCCCGTGCCCCCGTCCGGCCCCGTGCCCCGTCCGGCCCCGTGCCCCATGCCCCCGTCCGGCCCCGTGCCCCCGTCCGGCCCCGTGCCCCGTGCCCCCGTCCTGCGCCGTGCCCCGTCCGGCCCCGTGCCCCGTGCCCCCGTCCGGCCCCGTGCCCCCGTCCAGCCCCGTGCCCCGTCCGGCCCCGTGCCCCGTGCCCCCGTCCGGCCCCGTGCCCCCGTCCGGCCCCGTGCCCCGTGCCCCCGTCCGGCCCCGTGCCCCGTCCGGCCCCGTGCCCCGTGCCCCCGTCCGGCCCCGTGCCCCCGTCCGGCCCCGTGCCCCGTCCGGCCCCGTGCCCCCGTCCGGCCCCGTGCCCCCGTCCGGCCCCGTGCCCCGTGCCCCCGTCCGGCCCCGTGCCCCCGTCCTGCGCCGTGTCCCCAGGCCAACTGGCTGAGATGAACCACAGACCACTTCCCCTGCCTGCAGCCCTCACGAGATTCGGGGTGGGGGGGCTGAGGGCGGATTCTCTACCCTGCGGGGTGACGGAGGTGGCTGGAGCCCCCCACCCC